GACAAAGGCAGGAGGACCGCAGGGGGCGGTCGCGGTCCCGCGCATCCAAGGCTGGTGGCCTCAGCCAGCGCGGGACCCTCCTGCTCCTCCGAGCACAGTTGGCAGGCGCCACTGGCTTGGGGAGTCATTGGATTCAATGTGTAAGCGAGAGAGATGTTCAGGAAAACATCGATGCGCAATCATGTATTTTGTACTTAGTTCAGTTCCGTGTTGCAAATGTTCGTTTCCTCCTATATGTTGTCTACTGCATGTGACGTGCTGTGCCAGCAAAGCGCAGTCCCTCTGCAAAGGGCTTCTGTTCTGGAAGGGGGAGCCGCGAGCGGTGCCCGCCACGCTCAGTCTGGTGGTCCAAGTAAGCTCCCCGTCTTACTTGGGAGCCGTGGACGCGGGCCCCGTCGCAGAGAGCAAGACAGATGGAAACCCTTCTGGACGAAGTGACTGCTTGGTGAGGTACCCACAGGCGGATGCGGAGGGGGCGGGGAGCGCTATTCCCGGGAGAGGCCCCTGCAGGGACAGAGGCACGGAGGGGTGACTCCCCTCCAGGGAACGAGAAGTGGATTAGATTGGCCAGAGCACGAAGTTCAAGGCGGAGAGAGGCTGGGAGCTGAGCGGAGCAGAGGATAACAAGTTTGCAGGCCTAGCTGTGGGCCTCGGCTTCCTTCCAAAGGACAGAGAAAGGGTTTGACAAGGGAAAGTAGTGACCAGACTTGGGTTCTATAAAGTGTCCCTCTGGTGGCCACAGGGAGGTAGGTTGCAGAGGAGAGGAGGCAGGAGCCTGGAAATCCAATTGACGGCTACGGCGGCTGCGGCCCAGCACCCGTTGAGGTGCTGGCAGGGGGCAGAAAGGAGCGGCTGGGCTGGAGAGAGGAAGCAGCGGGGCGGTGGTCGGGACAGCCTGTGAGAGGGGGTGGGGCGTCGGAGGCCGGGGGTGCGGCCGTCGCTGAGATTAGGGAGCCCGGAAATCGGAGAAGGCCTGGCTGCGGGGGTAGGACGGAAGCCGATCCAGGGACACTGAGGCGAAGGGCCGGGGGCGCAGACGGAAGTCTCCAGGGAGACGGTGGCCGCCCGGGTCTGGGAATTCTCAGGTAGAGGAGGTAGCCTTTCTCTACAGATCCTGCCCGCAGCATATGGGAGGGTACTTGGAACACAGGACCTCATCCACTGTTGAGGGAAGATGCTTAAGTGGGCGGGTAGCCAAGGCCAGAATCCTCAGGAGCACCAGCCTCTGCAGGGAGGACAGGGGACAGCGGCGGGGGAGAGATGCCGCAGGTGTGGGCCCGGGAGGGAAGACGAGAGTCAGGAGGAGGGGCTGCCCCCTCGGTCAGAGGGCGGCAGGGGGGCAGCGGGGACGAGGACTTAGACCCTCGGAGAGCTGCGGCGGTGCAGGGAAAGGGCCGTTTTGATGCCACGGCAGCAGGACGAGGGGTGGACAGGTAGCAGATTACGGAGGCTTGGTGAGCAGACAGAGGGTGAGGGGCGCAGGCAGGTGGAGACCGCTCTTCCCACTCCCAGATCTCTCTCCCACGGGACGCGAGGTCCTGGCCTGCTTGCCTGGGGACTGGAGTGGGGGGAACAGACGTGGGAGCAGGTGAGTTCTCAGGGCTGAGAGCGAAGGGGGAAAGTGACCCCAAAGAGCCGGGGGTGGGGGGTGGGAAAGCATCCCCAGGCGGGGGACAGAGCCAGTGTTTGAACTGGATTAGGGGACTGAGACAGAGCAGCCCGGAAGGGAGTTTGTAGGCAGGTCCTCGGAAAGAACGCGGCTGTGTGTGCTGCTGCGACCGCATTGGAGGGTGGCGGCGGCCCAGGCTCCATGGGGCACAAAGGGGACTAATCAGTGGAGGGAACAGGGGGTGGCTGTTTGATGGGGCCTCAGGACCGGTGGCAGAGAAGTAGGCAGTGTGAGAGCTAGGGGACTAGCAGGCGATGGTTTTATCTACACAAAGATTTCAGACAGAGGATGGTTCCGGGAGATAAAGGCAGGCGCAGGGCACTGGCGTGGGCCAGGGACAGAGAAAAAGGCGCGGGTGGGGGGTGAGGCAGTTAAGGCTCCGGGGACTGCAGTGTGGGCGAGCCCCCATGGTGGGCGCTGAAGTCCCCGGCGGGTGGCAGAAGCTGGATGTCAGGAAGAGGACGTGCCCAGGCCCTCAGAGATCCTGGAGGGGTGCTCGCGAGATGGCGGTCATCCATGAGAAGCAGGGGACAGTCAAGCTAGGAGAGCGGTTCGCACAAGAGCAGCGGGCATTGGGGAGGCTGCCTTCCATCCCTCCCGGACCGGCCCCCGGTTCGGGAGGCACAGAGGTCGTGGCATCCCAGGGGCAGGGCAGGCAGTGGAAAGTTCCATTGCGGTGACGTGTGTAAGACAAGCAGATCGTCTTTAGCACATACATGCAAAAAACTAAGTTTCCAGGAACTAAGGGTCGTCTTTTATTTTCTGCTGAGAGAGTGAATGAAGCATTTCCAGGGAATAACAGAAGACAGTGGTTCTGACTGGGTAGTATTTAATACGGTCGGGTCTTAAATAAGAAGCCATGAACATAAACATTTAAATCCAAATATATAATAAATAATCATTAAGTTATAAAGTACAGAGTTCATATTAAAACTAAATTCTCAGATGCAAATGTCAATACAATAGAGCAATAACATAGATAATAATGCTACAGTTCTATGCAAGTGTCCAAAGAAGACACCTTCAGCTAAAATATAGAAATCCTGACTTACTTCCCTGAACTCCTGTGACCTACACCAATATTTTTCTTCCTTCCTTCCTTTCTCTTCCTTCCTTTTTTTTTTTTTTTTTTTTGAACGTTTTCCTTGTTCCCACAGTGAGTATTGCTACAAATTCTATTGGAATAAAGTTGACCACTTATACATCAGATTTTAGTAGAAACTTTTACTCAGAAGTGTGGTCAGATATTCCCATAGGAGTATCCAGAATTTTAGCAACTCAGAAACACACAAAGCTCTTTAAAAAAAAAAAAAAAAAAAAAAAGGCAAACAGCCTCATTCTATAGAGAGGAAATAGAAACCCCCCAAATTTAAGCAAGTGCTACAGCCAGCAAGATTGCAGGTGTCCTGTGTCACCATCGTAGGTGACCACTAATGCTATGGGTTAGCCTCCTCGGGCTTTCAAGGGCTGGCTTGGTCTGGCACACAGAGCGGGGAAGCTGTTCGGGTCTCGCCCCTCATCTTATTTACGCTGGTGCGTTGCCTTTTCTCGGGATGCTGAGAGCATCTTTGCCCGAGCCTCTGGACTCGGGTGAGTGAAGGCCCTTAGCCAACACCCCACTAAATTACTTTTCCTTTGAAGGTAAAATCTCTGGTCAAACAGATTATAACAGAGACTTATTAACAGTAAACATACCACAATAAATATATTATTTTAAATATAAAATCACAGTGTCAAAGAAGTCAACAACTAGAAAGCCAGAAACAAGGAACGAAGACCCCTCGCGCTGAGCCACCTCCGCCTGCTCCCCAGCTTCCCCCGCGGCCCGGCCAGCTCCCCGTGCACCGAGGGCTCCCCGTGCAGCGGCACATTGTGCGCTTGTCTGCCTGATGCCTGTGCGAGAGCATCTTAAAGTTTCAAAACAGAATACGTTGTTTCTGATGATAACACATCTCATGGAGATTTGATAGCATAATTGATTCCTAACATATCTTGTAGAACTATAAAAACACTTGTTTTAAAAATGCTTCTAAGTGGATAATTTTTCTTCTCAGAGCATAAAGCATTTCCTGTACAACATTTTCTTGGCACTCACAGCCATTTTAACAATAAGAGATTCTCAAATAGCTTATAATGTCCGAGCGAAGATTTTCTTTTCCTAGAGTTTCTAACGCCCCCCCTTGAACAAGCTGTGGAATTGCTAGGAAACAGCAGTTAGAGCGGGTTGCGGGTTTTCACCTCCACGCCTGGGCGGCCGGCACGTCGGTGCCCAAGTCTGCGCTCTCTCAGGATGGGAGTCCTGGACTCTCTGTGTGTGTCCTGGCTTCAATTTTCTACAGGTGACCGAATCTGCCTTAGGTAAAGCATGCAAACGCAAACTGTCATTTTTAAAAGAAGGGGAAAAAGAAAGGAGGAAGGCACTGGGCATTTGGAGTTACTGGCTCAGCCTCATGCAGCGATCACAACCGTCTCAGGGAGAGCGGCTGTGAGCTTTTTAGATCTCCGAAGGCTGGCCCTCCGCAGACTTGGACCGCCATTTCCGCAAGCGCACAGTGTTAGCTCATACGGGGGCTTGAGCTGGAAATGTGCTACTAAACCCACATACAGAAAAAAGACAAGAAGAGTCTATTTAATAAATACATTCACATCTATGGTGTTTAAATATTCAACACACCTCAATAAGGAAGTAAGACTTTTTGTGTAACCATCTAGTAAAGATATCCCCTGGCACATAAATAAATTATATATTTATATGTTAGACATTCTGCGATAAACAGTAAACTCTTCGGGAATACATTTTTAAACACTCAGTTTTCATTTCATTAAGTGACTAAAGATTTCAACTTTCCTTTTTGACTCTATGCTTCTATATTTTTCAGCTTGGATGAAAGCGTGCAACTTTTAGGTTATAATTATCAGAGGCCCTATTCTTGTGGTAATCAAGATCAAAGTTAATAGAAGATCCATAAATTCCCAAATGCATTTTTGGTTAAAAATTTTAAGTTTCTGCCCAACCAAGAAGTGTGATCGTTGGGCCATTAAATACAAATTTTAGAAGTCACAGAAATCCGTAACATAAGAAATCAGATTCTAAGGAGTAGACAGTTTTTTTCAAGTTGGACAAACACAGACCACACGGATTGAACCGAAGTCTTGCGTAGCGATGGGGGGAATAGTCCTAACTTTGAACCCTTATCTGAGTCCTCCGCTCACTGATGTATGGCGTCCCCGCAAGTGGAATACCCAGGAGTGTATCTCACGGCCGTGTTATAGTGTGTCACATAGTGTCCAGCTGCCGGCAGGGCCTCGGAAACCTTCCCTCCCACGGGCTCTAGGAGAGGCGCTGGTGGATCATCTGTGGAAACAGCAGACTGTGAGTGAGCACCCGATGCAGGACGCGGTCCGGGCAGGCGCGCGGTCAGAAAGCCAATGTGTGTTAAGGCGTACCTTTTGGATGAGCGACTTCAGTCTTTCTAGGAACTCTTTGGGTGGCTTTTTCTCATAAGAATCACATGAAGGGCACGTCTAGAAATCAATGAAAAAGTGACATTCTTTAAAACATTTTTCCTATTGAATAAAATGTTCATCGAAAATGTATTTTTTTCCAATTAGAGACATAAATCATGCTCACTGAAAAAATTGAGAAACACATAAAATTGTTCAGAGACAATTGTGGCAGTGTTTGGAGATACATCTTCCCAGTGATTTTTTTCTTTGTATTTATGTACTTACACGGATTGGTAATTTGCTTTTTTTTTTTTTTTACACTTAACTTATCACAAACAATTCCTGCGTGTTAAATATTCTTCAAAAATATGATACACAATGGTAGCTTTGTATTCCAACACAGGATTGAACTATTACTATCTTTGGACACATAACACTTCTAATATTTCACTATTTTATACTGTGCTTCAAAGAACATCCCTGAATAGTTTTTCATATACATCCTTGTTTATTTTATTGGATAAATTTCTAGAAGTAGGATTACTAAATTAAAGGGATGAAAAATTTTAAGGCTTTCGATGTATATTGTAAAAAGTCTTACTTGTATTCACATAGAGCATTCTTACCATTATTGGGCCTTAAAATTCGTTACTGGAAAAAATAGGATTTCCTTGTTTTAATTTCCATTATTTGATCACAGAGAGAGTGCACAGTTTTTCATATGTGTATTGTTCATGTATGTATATTTTTTTAATTTTCTCGGTTTGTGTACTTTACCCTGATTGCTACTGAGAGCCACACAGCAGGCCACCACTGGTCACTTAGCACCTGAAATGTCAGCCTGGTGTGGTGGTGTGAGCTTGTGACCGACAGACGGTGAGGAGCTGGAAGTTCTGGCTTTTCCTGTCTGCGGGCGGCAGATTACTGAGCCCCTTTGGTCTAGCAAGTGAAGGTGCTTAACTGGACACATCTCAGCACCACCCTACCTGTGTCTTCGGTACTGGATTCGCGGGCCTGCTCAGCTCCTTTCCTTCTGAGAGTGTGCGTGTGTGCGTGTGTGTTAGATACACTTAGTCCCCTTGGGTAAAACAGGCATCGGGGCCAGTCTTACTTGTCTCTGCTTCTGCCTTCTCCCTGCGCGGGTCAGGGGCAGCGACCGCGCCAGCTGCTTAGTTAACACGCTGATTTTCGGCTCCCTGTCCCCTGCGTTTGTTGACTTCAGCTGGGCCTTCTGGAAACAGGAAAACGCCGATCGCTCGCAGTGTCTCTGAAAAAGAAATCATTTGTGGATGGGTGCCCAAAAGTGACTCAGAAAGCCAGAACGTCCTCCCCGATCCTCTTTTTCCACTCGCGCAATGGTGTCTTGGGCCGCCCTGGCTTGGGCGGATGCAGAGGGATTGACAAGACAGGCCCAGAGCGGCTTCCTCGGAGGCCTGGGGGCAGGCGGTGGGCGGGGGTTTGTGTTTGGGAGGGAGACCGAGTTGGGCTGTAGAAGGAAGTACTTCCTAAATCGTGAGGCTCTGAAGTCCCTGCAGGGACTAGGGCAGTGCCCTGCACGTGTTGCTGTCGCTCCCTGGTACGCACTCAGCGAGCACCTGCCGAGCTGGCAAGGGCCGTGCATGGGTTCGAGCCCCGGCCCCGGGAGGCCTGGGCGCCCTCCTGCAGAGGCGTCAGCCTCCTCTGAGACCCAGTGCCTGGCCGCGGGCTGCTCCTGGCTTTCCCGAAATGCGCTTCACGCCCCTGGGCCAGGTGGGGGAGGCTTCTGCCTGGTCCAGCAGCGCAGGACAGAGCTGGAGACTTGCCGGCCAGTGGGAGGGAGGAGAGCTCCCCGGACGGTAGGAGACTAGGGAAGCTGCAGCCTCCAAGAATGGACAAGGGGCCAGAAGGGGGGTCCAAAGGGGTCTCCTGCTTTAGTGAGGTAACGGGTGACTAGGGCATAAGTCAAAATCTTGGAAATCGCCCTGCCAATGAAATGAGATCTATCGGAAGAACAAAGTTTATACTGACCCGTCGAAACATTTTAATGCTGATCTAAGAACTCGTATCCAAGTTTCTTTTTTCCTGCAGCAAGTGGGTGCCTGTGATACTGCCTGTGATACTATCGCATCCCCCAAAGCTGCGTGGCACCGTTTCACTCCTGGGTGTGTGGGAGCCGTGGCCACACGCCCAGAAACCTCAACCTGCCAGTTCCTGCCAGGCCGGCCCCATGCGTAACAGCACTCCCTGACTCTCCTGGGCAGTCAATCAGCAGAATATCGCATCTGGCCTGCTTTGCATTTTCCAGCCTAGGCACTCACCCCGTGTGGATGTTGATTAATACCATGCATCTCAAGACACAGCCCCAGGCCCGCTTTGCATACCGGGCCTCAGCCCGAGGTATCTTATCTGGCTTCCTCGGGCCAGCGCAGCCTACCTCTCAGCAGGCACCGTGGGGTCCTGTCCCTGTCTGCGAAAACGCTTATTTAATAGAAACTATTTATAAATGTTCATTATAGCACTTTTTTTTCCTTGAAAACCACATGTTCTTGTTTGTTGAAGTTTTTTCTTTTCTCTTCTTTTTGACCACAACCGGCTTAACTTACTGGAAAAAATAATATTCATATTTAAAGAGGTAAATTTTCCAGCTGAAACTGAAAACGCTAACTGCTTCATCTGTGCTGATCTGAGAAACCAGCATTTCTCACAGAGACCCGTTTTGCTGAGTTAACATTTACATGGGTGTTGAAAGAAAGCCAGGTTCCAAAGAAGCAGGGGGCCCCGCCAATCAAGCCCCCGGGGGCCATTGCCAGGAGTGGTCAAGGCCAGAGATGCCACCTGCCAGCCCGGGCCCCCTCTCCTGCAGGCCGGTGTCCGGAGGCTCCAGGGTTTGGCTCTGCGCTCTCTGCAAGCAGCAGCGCGGCCCCTGGCAGCGCGTGGCCATGGCCGGACACAGAGCTGCTGGACGGGATTCCCGATGCACATCAAAGGCAGCCTCCGCGGGAAAGAGGCTGCGGGCTGTGCCGCCCGCGGCTGCGGCGAGGCCGTGCCCCTGCAGAGAGGCCGCCCCGGCGCAGCAGCAGCGAGGGCGTGCCATGGAAGTGGCCACGGAGGGGCATGGAGAGGGGGACCTGTCCAGGTAGCCCCAGGAGCCCTGCCGCTTGGGGGGCTCCCCGATGACCCCAGGTTCATGTGTGGCATCGCCGCCTGGGAGCAGAAGCACGGCTTTCCAGGGCTGCGCCTGATGTAGCAGGGCTTGGCTCCCTGGTCTGCTGGCGCAGGAAGACGCAGGGACTCCGCTGTCCTTCGTGAGTTCTGCCGTACACCGGGAGCAGTGCGGGTCAGAAGCCGGAGTGACCGGCACCCTGTCCCCAGCCCAAGAGCAGTTAGGCAAGCGCTGCTTTTGCAAGGAGGTGCACAAGGCTTTGTCATTGTACAATTGACTAGTTGAAAATATTTGCCTTCTTACAGCCTATTTTTAACCTACTTACTTTTTTTTTCCTTCAAAGAAAGCCCTGCCCATTCACACTGAGAAGCCGTGCTAATTGAATAAAATAACCTTTGTCCCACAGACAAACTGGGTTTAAGTCAGGGCATCGCCACGGTGGCACCTGAGGCTGGGCACCTGAGGCTGGGTTGCTCTCAGCTGCCAGGGCTGTGCCTTCCACAATGCTCAGTAGCATCCCTGGCCTCTGCTTGCCAGGTGTCAATAGAAAACACCTCCCCCAAAGCCCCCCCCCACAGCTGTGCCAGCCAGATAGCTCTCCAGATGCTGACAGATGTTTGGGGTGGGGGGTGGCAAAGTCACCACCGGTTCAGGACCCCTGGTTATGATGAGAAAGAGAAAGAAGGACACTTCCAAGACCAATTAGAGGTCTTAGATAATGACTGTGTATAAATCTTTGCCTGCAAAATTTACATAAATTGATTTTCATTAAACTTTTAAATCTTTTTAAGTCTCTTATAGATCCTGCTTCAGTGCTAGCCCTGAAAAACTTGATATAACACGATGGTGGCCTTGAACTCTTCGCTTCCTTCCTGATTTGCCTGCCAGCGCAACTCAGTGGCCTTTGTTAGACCATCACTCAGCAGCATTTCGGCCAGACCGCTCAGTCAGGTTGCCACACAGAGACAGTGTCACACAAAGTCCTCGCGTTGTGATGGAAGATAAGACATACCTCTCCATAACAAAGCTTATAAAGAAAGTACCCGCTAGGCCAACTGAAGCTAGAAAGTTGCACATCTTTCTTACTTCTCAATTCGCGAGTTACAGGCTGCGGCTCAGAACTCCAGAGAGAGAGTTCTAACCACAGCAGTTAAACAGAGGGCGGGAGATGCTGTAAAACGCTTTATGTTTTGATAACTAGGACATTGATTAAGACATACTTTTACTTATTGGAAAAGCCTTTCCAATAAACTGAATGTGCTACTTTCATTTTAGATGCTGCTTATTGGAAAAGGCCCCAGTAAATGAGAGTGGTTAGGCTCAGAGCTAGAGAGTGAATTTTAGAGAAAAACAATCATTGTGACTCATTCACTTTCTACACTTTTACACATAGTCATTTACAATAATTGTTTTCTTTGCAACCGAGCTTCCTAAGTCTCCCCCTCTGCAAGGTCCTAATTACTGGCAGCACTTGTGGAGTTATTCTAATTTATGCAGTTAAAAGTCTGTGGCAATGAAAAATTTCCCCAACTGCCTTCATATCCTCGGCGCACGAAGCCTGGGGAGGGAGCAAGCACACAGCACGCTGAGCACGAGGCCTCTTCTCCCGGCCCGAGCGGAGGGAGATGGCGCAGGAGGACGGGGTGAGTTGCTGAACACGGCCCTTTCAAAAGACCTCACCGAGGGCCCAAGGCCTGCCTGGCAGAGGCCGCTATACAGGGGTCCTGGGCGCGGGCGGCCTTCCTGGGCGCACTCTGCGCATCCCCCGCGATCCAGGCTTCCTTTTCCTTTTCTCTTCCTTCCTCTCTTCCTTCCTTCCTTCCTCTCTTCCTTCCTTCTTTTCTCTTTCTCTCTCGCTCTCTCTTTCTTCCTTTCTTTGTATTAGAAGGCGAGGTCTGCTTCTTATAGTGCAGGTCTCGATTTCTTGGGGTTACGTGGGTGCTCCAGAGCTCCCATGCACAGGGCTCCTAAAATCCTACCAGGGGGCCAGTGTTCAGACACTGGCCACGGTATAGATTTAGTCTCTAGTTTTGCTGTTCTGTCTCACCAGTACCACATGGGTGTATTCTGAGAGATATTTGGGGTTAAAACTATATTTTATAAGGTAGGTAGCATTTTATTGGTTGGCTTGGTCGGTAAATTAGTGAATATTGGACCAAAATAGAAAGAACTAGTTTCTCAACTATTAAACCTCCAAATTCATTGAAAGTAAACATATTCCTAAACAATCACGTCAATGCCTTTCTTAATGGGATTTTAAAACTTGCATCAAATATATCTTCACAAATAAATTCAACTGGTCTTACCTCCACATCTTCTGGAGCTGGCAGAAATTCAGGGTCCTAGAGCAAAAGAAAATTAGTTCTGAGTTATTTTAAGTCAAAAGGCTTCTTTTACATTCATGGAAGCATATCATTTAGACTGTGTTTGGACAAGTATGGCCTTACCAAGTCATTCACGTAATTTTTCAGCTGATCAACAACATCAATAAGCTGGCGCAGTCTAATCAAGAGGCGATCCTGCCCCTGGAGGCCGGACTTTTGGGCCACTGTCCCTGAGAAGAGGACCATCAGGCAGAGGACTATGCCCTGCATGGTGCCAGGACGGGGTCTCACAGACGCCAGGCGAGCAGGACCTCGGTCTCCGTTTCCACCTCGGTTTGACTGTGAGCAGGCTGCGAGCAGGGCTGCGTATTTATTCATCCTTCAGGGAGAGCTAAAGCCCTCCCATCGCCGCCTGGAAATCTTTGTCAAGTGGATGAAGGTGAGTAACCCTTTTTCTTTTCCACTGGCTAGGTGTGCGTGTGCGTGTGCTGACGCGTGGGGGCAGGGATGGGCCGGCTCCACGGCTGCGCTCCCTCCGCGCCTCCGACAGGAAAAGGGAGGCACGCGGTGAATTCCAGCCGCCAGCGTGTGAGAGAGGCCCGTGGTAAACAGTAGGTGCTGCACGACTTCAAAGGAGTAAACAAAAACACAGGGCGCTCGCTCTCTCCGGCCGCCGCGCCAGCCTCTCACCTGCTCCCCCTGACAGTCATAAAGACACTCCAACAATGACTAAGGGCCACGCGTGCCTTCTCACAGGACTTTTTCGTATGGTAATAATGATGCCTTTTGACTGATATCACCTAGTATTCCATCTAAAAGGTAGGAGGAGAGCTACCTTTTAGGAAATTTTAAATATCAGGGGTATTTTCCAAGTTAGCAAGAACAGTTTAGGTTCTTAATCAGGTGAAAGGGTTTAGAGCAGAATGTGCTTCCAGCTCTTCCCCAAAGCATCTTCAAATAACATTCGTCTTGGCTTCTAGCATTTTACGCAACAACCTGACTTGTACGTGGAATCAGTGATTCCAAGGGGCCACGCAGGAACCAATCAGGTGTCCACACGCTGCCTTCATTTAAATCGCCCTGCAGCGTCCATCTCTCCTGCATGGTGCTTCTGCCCAGTGAGGGAAAAGGGCCAATGTTCCCGCCCGGACCAAGATGTGTTTTCTCAAGGAACAAAATTTAAAATACCCACATGTGATGCTTTTTTCTCGTTGTGCAGTGCTACCTCCTTCTGTCAGATATCATTTCCTCTGGGTACAAACGACACATTTCTAGCTGCGACCGGTGGCGGTTAACGAAAGCCCCCAAGGCCAGGAGCGGTTCTCTCGCGCTCCTCTCGCTGTGGCTCCTGTCCCTGCCGCTCTTGACATTTGAGGAAGCTGCGTAGACTGTTCTCCCCAGCCAGTTAGGTCTTACAAACTGAGCTCCTGACTGTTGCCTTTACTTATTCCTTACACATGAGCCGCCATCCTTTGTTCTCGAACGTCTTGTAGCCAAGATAAACTGGAGTGCGGGCCCTATTTGCTCTGAAGGTCGACTGTAACTTTTTATCATAGACCATCTATTCAGGGTGCTCAGGCTGGTCCTACAGAATAGGTGAGACCGTTACTGCCCAACGAGAAGCCCTCCCTGTGCCCTGGGGCTCTGCAGGGGAGGCCCCGTGTAAGCCTTCGAGATACATAGGGACTGGGGTTCCCTGCTGCCGGGCACCGCCGCCGCCCGCATCGTCGCTGTACAGCTTCCCTCGTCTGCCTGAAGAGGGTGCGTCTCCTTGGAGACGCTACCCACAGAGGTTAAGAGCTCAGCCTCTAAACCGAAGTGCTAGGGTTCAAGCCCAGGCCCTGACAATCAATAGCACACGTGACCCTGGGCACGTTCTTGCAAAAGGAAGATAAGTCTAGGATCTAATCACAGGCGGTGGTAGGGCTTAAATAGGCATTCCTGGCGAAAGGCCCGAAGCCGGCGTGGGCTGAAGTCGTGGACGATCTGCGTGCTGGCCAAGGACGAGGGTCAGAGGAGAGTTTCTAGAAGCCCGAAGAGGCTGAAGTGCTGGGTGGGAGGAGGCGCGTGGCAGGTTGGCGCTCCGGCGGACACGGCGTGGCTGCGCAGCCTGTCCCAGGGTGGGGGTCTTCCCGACTGCCTCGGGGGCGGGGGCGGGGTGTGCCGGTAAGGGGACGAGGACCGCGCAGAAGTGCGGGAGGGGAGGCTGGTGTAGCTGCTGCAAGGCGGGGGATGTGCGGGGTAAACTGTGGGTTAAGGACTTTCTGCGAGTCGGGTGTAATGACTTCTTCCTGGAGCTCAGGACCTTCACTCACAACTGACGGTGTGATTTGAACTTATGGAGCCCGGTCTGCATTTCACTTGAACTTGTCACTACGTCGAGAGGCACCTGAGAGTAGGAAAAAGGAGGCTCAGATTTACCGGAGTGTGTGCTCTCTGCTCAGTAACATTAACCTTCTCGCTACCTCCACAGCACCATTTAATTGGCGTCTATCAGCTTTTTACTCTTTGAGTTGTAATCATTTTTACTCTCCAGATTCAGTCAGCCCTGCCACGACGCCTGCGTTGAAGACGAGAATGTATTTCAAGACGGTTCATAGACCAGGCAGGAGTCTGGGCCTGACAAGGATGCCGTGTGCGCTCTGCGCAGCTTCTCCTGCACGAGACCCGGGGGAGCGCGGCCGCCTCCAGCGGATGGTGCGCAGGACGCCCGCGGGCCTCGCGCTCCCACACAGCCACGCGTGTGACGAGCCACAGCTGCCCCCATCTGGGGGCACACTCTTCCTTCCCCCCAGGGACCCCGGCCGGCCTCTTCTCAGCAGCTCACAAGAGGCAGCCCACCCAACACTCGCCTTCCTGAGCCAACTGCAGCTCTTGCTCTGGGTCAAGTGCCTGACTTGTAGCCTGTAGGTACTTCTTAACCATTTAACATGGAGAACGGCCGTCTTTTTATTCGTATGCTGCCCTCTTTTTTATGTGTTTTTGAGGAAGAGGCCCCAATCCCATCCCCCCACTGCGCAGGTTCGCGGGGCAGCGATCATTAGGTGCGCGTGTCCCGCCGGAGCAGAATGCCCTGAATTTTGTCCCGGCGTGGTCGCACGCAGGCCCGAACAGCGACTTGCTATATCCGGGTGGACCAGACAAAGGATGTAGTCTTAAGGGTGGAGAGGGAAGCGCGCGGTGGAGGAAGGGCGAGAGATGGAAAAACAAACTGTGTCTTTCCTGTTCTCACGCATGGGCCACCCGAGCTCCGGCATTGAAAGCCCTGAGCATGGGCGGCCTCCGCGCTGGTGGGAGCGGCAGCCGCAGACCTTTTGCGCCGGGCGCGGAGAAGCCACGGGAGCGGCCAGCGCTAGGCTTGCTCGCTCGCGGCTCCTGTGTACGCTGCGCACCGGGGCATAGGCTGGGGGCGGACCTGCCACGGGTGTCCTTTCCTAGGTTAGAGCCCAGCCGTCACCGCGACGGCAGGAAGCTGTAGTCGCCCCCTCGCGGGGATCCGTGGACACATTTCAAGGATTTTCTCTAATGGTCTGCGCTCCCAGGCCGGCGCTCTGGCAGGAATGCGCCGGGGTCCTGGCCCGCCGCACAGCGCAGGGCCGGCATCGCTCAGGAGGCCGCAGCCTCGCGGTGCTGCGGGCAGAAAGCCGGCCAGGTCTGCAGCTGTGCCGGGTGCTGCCCGGGCCCACCGAGCTTGCCCAGTCCTCACGGCGCTCCCTCGGGACCTCAGCGTGCCATGCACTCCGTTTCTGTTCTCACTTTGCTCCCCTCCCCCGTGGGCAGACGCGCGTGGTCTGCGTGGCCAACTCCCGCAGGGGAGGCCTCCCGTGTTGAGGGCGACAGGAAGTGATTGTACCATGCACTGCCTCCGGTACCAGAGGTCTCCCAGCAGGTGGCTTGTCTCCGGGCAACTGTGACAGGTATCACCGAGGCCACAGGTTGGAGGTCCTCCATTCCGGGACCGGCAGCACAGAGGGCGGAGGAGGAGGACGGGGAGATCCAAATGCACCACCAGCAGCCGGGGCAGGGCTCGGCCGCCCCCAGCCTCCCGGCAGACGTCGGCCTCAGGAAGCCCCTTCTCTCTGCTCTCCGGGCCTGCCCCAGGGAGCCGCCAGGCATCTGTGAACCAAATCAAGGAATTCAAAGAACCTACCAGTGTGTTAAGTAAAAATAAAAAAGGCTTCCTTTTCTCCCATAATTTTTACTCACTGGGGATATTCCTGAGAGTTGACTACATGTCGTTCTATACGCTTCTGCTATGGATGTAGAACAATATAGGGGAACATGTATAGAGATTGCAGGAAAGGGAATTATATATGGAGATAAAGATGTATAGAAAAAGACATATTAGAGGTGACAGAAAAATGTTTTTTCACGTAAAAATTTAGTCTTCCCAGGCAGACGCTACCACTTTCCTTCTCTCAACAGCACGTCAGGGCTGCGCGCACAGGACGCCTGCCCGGGCGCCGCCCTTGGACCGCGGGGCGGTGCTCGCTGCGCGGCTGCCCTCCGGGTGGACGCACGGGCGCTTCGCGCTCCACCCGCGGCGAGCAACGCTGCCGGGAACGTCCTCAAGCAGCTCCACCTTGAAGTACACGGAACGTGCACCTTCAGGTGCCCATCCCACCTTTCACTTCCTAAGTGGAAAGATCATATCTTTTAAAAATTTTGATAGAAGCTGCCAAATTGCCCTCCAACGTGCCAAGCCAGTGTGCGCTCCTACCAGCGGAGCTCTCGTTCCTCCTCCGTCCTCATCGATATATTATGAATACTTTAAATACTTGCCAGAATTCTAAGGCAAAAATGTCTTCCTGCCTCTGGTCTGCCTTTCTCTGATCGACAGTCAGGTCTAGCATAATTTCCTGTCTTTAGTGCCAGCGTATTTCTGTTTCGGCCAACAGGGTCATTCCTACTCTTTGCCCATCTGCTGGGTTGGTTCTCGCTCCCATGAACGATATGCTAAACACATTGAGCTGATTTTCTCTGTGGCCTCTTTTGCCATACAGAGATTTTAGGTTTTTATGTTGCTGTGTCAGAGACTCTTACGTTCTACAGCATGAACTCCTGTTTAACCCCAGAAATGCCTCATCTTCCATAATGGCCAGTGGCAGAAATTGACTTAGGGCGTCCTACCGGAGGAATGTTGGATGCCAAGGGAGCTTTTAAACGAACTGGCGTCTAACTCATCACAAGACTAGCTACATACTTTTTGAAAAATTATAATACATGTATGACTGAGCGTGGTTTAGTCAGCTGACGGGCAGTGGCCCTTCCATCAGGGGATGCATGGGCCTCCTGACCACCGCCGTTTTAGGACAGAGTTGGCCGTGACAGAATTATTAGGCACACAGTCTTATACCACACTCGGGGACAGGGCACTG